AGCGTGCACGGGCGGGGGGCGTGGGGGGGGGGGGGCAGGCACGGAGGGCTGAGGGTGAGATTGGGGGCAGAGTGATTGTGTGCAAGGGGGGGGGTGTTTATGAGGCCTAGGGCTCTGGACGTGTGGGCAGCGGGCAGGGGAGCTGTGATGGGGGCTGTGGGGATTTTGGCAGGCTGCGTTGGAGGAGGAATGTGAGGGAGGTTGTGTGGGGAGGCCAGTGTGTACGGGGCCTTGGTGGTACAGGGGACTCATGGGGCAGGCTCTATGTGCTGGTGCATGGGGGGCAGCTCTCCCCCCACTGTCCCACCCAGAGCAGAGGGTGGGGGTTGAGCCCCACTCTCCAAGGTTGGGCAGGCAGGTGAGGTTGGAGGATGCCATGTCTCACCCTATCCATTGTCCCCAGCCATGGAGTGGATCCCAACCCAGTTCCGGGCCATGGTGGCTGCCATCCTCTCCTGCAGCCTGACTCTGGGCCAAATGTTCCTGGCTGGACTGGCATACGCCATCCGTGACTGGCGCCAGCTCCAGCTGGCATCCTCCGTGCCCTTCTTCCTCTTCTTCTTCTACAGCTGGTAGGTGCCCTTGGGCCCAAAGGGCAGGGGCACCACACATCCACAGGCAGCCATGGATCCAGGCTGGGGTGACATTATAGGCTCAGGCCCTGTGTCTGGGAACCCAGGGGGGGCTCACGCTGCATGGCAGCGATAGCCTGTTGCCTGGCACAAAGGAGGCCCTGCAGCCCTGTTCCCCTGACACACCAACTACCAGGGAAGCACGGAATCCCAGCTCCATTGCCCTGGCGATGTGGGTGCCCAGTCTTCAGCAGGCACCAGGTCCTCTGGTCTCTCTAAGCCGTGGTCCAATCCTCCCGTGCCCAGGTGGATCCCAGAGTCTGCACGCTGGCTCATCGTCAACCGCAGGCTTGAGATAGCACTGAGGAACCTGCGGCGGGTAGCCTGGATCAACGGCAAGAAGCTGGATGGGGAGGGCATCTCTCTGGAGGTGAGGTGCACAGGTACCCCGAGGGGTTTAGTGGCTAGAGAAGAGGGAACTGGAAGTCAAAACTCCTGGATTTTATCTCTGTCTGTGAGAGGGGAGTAGGGTCTCATGATTGGAGCTGGGGAGGGGGATAGGTGCCAGGTCCCAAGGTTCTCTCTCCCTGGCTCTGCCCATCTTCCCCTCTGTAGAAGGGGGAGTGATTTCTCCACCCTGCTCTTAGGTCACAACTTCTCTCCCTCCCCAGGCACTGAGGCTGGAGATGCAGCAGGAGGAAGAGAGCTCGGGGCCCTCCCGGCGCTCTGCCCTGGAGCTGTTCCGGACCGTGCCCATGCGTGTGGTCACCTGCTGCCTCATGCTGGTCTGGTAAGGAGCTCCCCTTGCCCCCATCAGTACCCCCCAGGCTAATAATACTAGTGCCTTAAACTAACTAGGGAGGGTGGTGGCACCACTGTCCCCTGTTGAGTGAAGTTCCCCTCGAGCTCAAGCACCAGGGGGCAAGACTTTGGGGCAGCTGTGTGTCAGATCTTCTATACTGCTGATTGAAGTGGGGGATTCCCCTGGTCTCAAATGGCAGGAAGAGAAGCTTAGGGGCAGAGAAAGGGCAGGGGGTGTGGCTTAGGGGCAGCCAGGTGTCAGAAATCATGGTAAAAATGGCTAGTCAAGGAGGAGAGCTTCCCCTGGGGATCAGATATTTAGGAGGACCTGAGTTCATCCCCATGCTGCTTAACCCCCTAGAGGATTCCATGGTCAGTATGGGAACAGGGTGTTTATCATCACAACTCTGATTTAAGCTAAGAGAAGGTATGAGGGAGTCTCAGCTTTGCTGAGTGGCCCCTAGTGGCTGGGTTAGTCACAGAGTGGGAAGTTTCTTCAGTTAGGAGAGAAAACCCTAGATGCATAGGCAAAGGAAGGGGTGCAGGGAGGGCCGAACAGGGATGTGGCAGCACCCCATTTAGCAATCAAAATGTTGGTAGGGGCACAGAGGGAGCAGTGCACCTACTAGGTGCTACCATGAGGCGCTTGTGTCTAGAAATAAATGTGGGTGACACCAAAACCCTGTGGGGTCCTGCCATGTGAACAGGAAGGTCTTCAGCACATCCCCACAGCACAGCTGGAGACAGAAACAAACAGAAACTGGAAGGGAAAACCAGACAGACCAGAGGAGAGGGAAAGACCAGCATGAAGGGAAGACAGACTAATGAGGGAGGGAGAGACAGGCAGGCAGGCAGGAATGGGGCAGGGAGACAGCCAGATTTTCTCCATCTGTGAACCCCTCCCCCTAGTTCTCTTCCTTCCACCTGGCAGGTTCGCCAATAGCTTCTCTTTCTACCACCTGGCCCTGGACCTGCAGCGCTTCACGGGCATCAGCATCTTCCTGGTGCAGCTGATCTTTGGGGCTGTGGACATACCCTTCCGCATGCTGGTGGCCCCTGCCCCCCTGCCTGTCCCTGGGGGGACTCTTCATCCTAGCCAGCATCCCAGTGTCACAGGGTGAGGTCAGAGCCTTCTGCCAAGATGGCATAGCCTTCCCTGCTGCCTTGGGCTTCACCAGCGCGGAGCTCCACACAGATCAGACCCTAGGCCTGGCCAGCCCGAAGCCCCCACCCCCTGGTATCCCATTCTCCCCGCTGTGCAGGAAATTGAGCTAGTGGTGGGGTGGAAAGTGTGGTGAGCTGGGGTGGCTTTCAGGACGGGAGGGAGGTTCAGCCAGTAACCAAGATTCTAGCCCTACAAGTGGCTCGGGGGATTGGTAAGTGACCAGTGCCCCATCCATGCAGCCCTAGCAGGCTGTTTCTGGGCTGCCTATCGCCTAATGCTGCATCTCGGAGTTAGTGACAGGCACCCCAGAGCAAAAGAGGCTACAACGCATGGATGGGGGGGTGGCTCTTCTCAGCCTGATGCTTTCTGGATCCTCCTCCCCTCGCTGCCCTAGACATGGAGGTGCTGCTGCTCACCCTGACTGTCCTGGGAAAAGGGCTTTTCTCCTCCTGCTCCAGCTGCTCCTACCTGTACACCGCGGAGCTCTACCCCACCATCATCAGGTGAGTGGCGCCATCTGCTGGACTGCATCAGTAGGGGCAGCACTGTCAGAAGCAAAGGGAGAGGGGCTGGCAGCCAGGCCTCCTGGGTTCTAGTGACCGGCGATGGTCAATCTAATACCCCACTTGTGGGGAGGGTTGATGCCCTGAGGCCCAGCCTGAGTCCATTGCTCAGGTCCAAGATGTTCCTCCCTGGGATTCCCCCCTCATTCAGCTACACATTCCAGTCCCTCCTCCGCTGGGACACGGCTGAGCTCCCCTCATCTGCGCCCTCTGGACACAGTGGGGCAGATCATGTGGAGCATCCCCATTTGGCTGGGACACTCCTGTTTTCAGTTTCCCCCTCCTGAAGTCCCAAGCGGCTGTTTCAGAGGCCCATTGGGGGAGCCCCTGCAGCTGTGGCGGGGGTGAATCTTGATGGAGGGAGGGGATCAGTGAGGTATTCATCCATCCAGTGAGGAGATGGAGCTGAGAACTGATGGATCTGGAGTGGGAATTAATGAATTGACTGCAAGGGATTATGCAAATAATCAATTGCATATTTATAAATATGCAAACCAGGCCATATTCTCATGTGTATAAAATGCACAGCCTTCATGGGATTGCTTACTTCTCGGTGGCCTCCTTATCTCCACAGGCAGACAGGGCTGGGGGTCACTAACATGATGGCTCGGCTGGGAGCAGTGGCAGCCCCCATGGTGCAGATGACCCAGGCCTTTGTTTCCTTTCTGCCCCATGTCCTGTTTGGGGCAGTGCCCATCACAGCTGGCATCCTGGTCAATTGCTTACCAGAGACCTTGGGGGTTCCACTAGCTGACACGATGGTGCAGGTAGAGGAGAGGTGGGTACACTGGGCACTGTGTGAGGACGGGGGGCTGGGCATAGGGTGGACTATGTGGATCTCAGCATGACTGTATGTGTGCAAACATGAATGTGTGTGTGTGTGTGTGTACAGACAGAAGTGTGTGAATGTGTGCTAGATGGATGTAGAGTGTGGGTGGATAGAGGGATGTGTATGGGGATGGACGGATGGACAGATAGAGAGCTGTGGCATTTGTGATGGCTAGGGATGTGCTGGCATGGGGATGGATGGATGGATAGCTAGCCTAGGTGTATATGGGGATGGATGAATAGAAGGACTGCTGTATAAAGCTTTTAAAACGCCTAGGATGAAAGAACAAAGTGTCATTAATTATTAATTGTTCTTTTTAACGATCCAGCTGTTAGGTGCTTTTGTTCTTCTCTTCTCTCTTTGTTTTTAGAGCAAGAAAGAAAAAGAGCAAGAAAGAAGAACTGAAGAAAGAAGCCAGAGAAACCAAGAAAACCAAATTCTAAACAGAGGCACTGGGCTAGGACTCTGGAGACCTGAGTTCAAATCCTGGCTCCCTCTGTGACCTGGGCTTGTGTCTCTTCATTGCTCAGCACTCAATTACCCCATTTGTAAAGTGGGCTAAAGATGAGTCCCTGCCCTGTGGAGGTTATGGGGATAAATCTGTTGAGAGGCTTAGATACTAGCCCCATAACAGAGATAGAGTCAGACAACCAGCTCTTTATCACACATGCAAATTTTTGAAAGGGTCCCTTTTATCTGGGATTCTCCAGCTTGGATTTTTAGTTCTTTGGTGTTCATTTGTCACAGGATTAGGATGGAAGACATTTCTTCTCACTCAGATTACTTAAATTCTTAGGGTGCATCTACACTGCACACATAGGTCAAAATGCTATGCAATTTGAACTACACAAATTGGCTGTGTCTAGACTGGCCAGTTTTTCCGGAAAATCAGCTGCTTTTCCGGAAAAACTTGCCAGCTGTCTACACTGGCTGCTTGAATTTCCGCAAAAGCACTGACTTCCTATTGTAAGAAATCAGTGCTTCTTGTGGAAATACTATGCTGCTCCCATTCAGGCAAAAGTCCCTTTTATGCAAAGCTTTAGCGCAAAAGGGCCAGTGTAGACAGGTGAGATTCGTTTTCCGCAAAAAAGCCCCAATTGTGAAAATGGCGATCGGGGCTTTTTTGCACAAAAGCACGTCTAGATTGGCACGGACGCTCCATGGATGCTTTTCCACAAAAGCACTTTTTGCGGAAAAGCATCCGTGCCAATCTAGACGCTCTGTTCCTAAAATGCTTTTAACGGAAAACTTTTTCGTTAAAAGCATTTCCGGAAAATCATGCCAATCTAGACGCAGCCATTGTGTATCTTATTTTTATCTAATTTCAAAATGATGTGCTATTCTGAAACGTCCCTTGACCCTTACGGAATGAGGGTTACAGGGACGCTGGAATAGCATGCCCATTATTTCAAAATCTATTTTGAAATAATGGGCGTGTTTAAAGACGTGGAATAGCTATACTTCCGGTATCCTGAAATAGCGCCGCTGTCCAGACATAGTCTTAGAGAGCTGCGGTGTATAACTCTTTCCGGCAGGAGTCCAATACAACCATGGAACTGACCCACATGCAGTGCTTTTCACAATTGATTTGCATCAGGGATCAGAGAATACAGGGGCAGAATTGGTAGACTGGACTCTGAATCAAATTGCTTTGCACAAGTTAATGTGATGGTATTTTATTCTGTCTAGTTAACCTTCCTCCATATCCATTAGCTGAACAGAAAGTCCCCTTTGCAAGGAAGGGTTTTGCATGGAAAGCCTTTTATGTGACCTCTGTTGTAAAGCATCTATTTCATATTGCCGTCCATCTGCCATAGCTGGTGTCAGAACCTTGTAAATTGGTTTCCTATCAGAGAAGAAGTAAGAGAGATGCATTAAGTGGATATTTTCTTAATGTAGCTTGTTTATCTGCTGCATTATATGCACCGGTCTTAGAGCAGAGGTGGACACAAACAGCACGACAGACAATCCATTCTTTCTGTAAACTCCACCCAAACATCCATCCCCAGTTCCCAGAGAGCTAGTTTGCCCCCCCACAATTGACGTGAATTAAAAAGCAAAGAGTGAATTCTATTGCTGAAGCACATCTGAAAAGAATTTTGGTGAATCACAAAACCAAAAACAATATAGTGTAGCCTCAAAGACTGAAAGCTGGAGAAAAAATTACTTGTGAGGCTATGTGTGACAGCGCCATCTGGTGACACTCCCCCTGCCACACAATATCAATCCACTGGAACCCATGCTGAGGAATCAATAGGATGCTCTTCTTCCTGAATTAATACTGAGAACAGTGGTTCAGAACTGGAGTTAGTACGGCCCTTATGCAGCATGTTTGCTATGTGAAGCAGACAGCTGGGACAGCCACCTACTAACACCCTGGGGTCACAAACTGGTCCAGTCCTGGTTTCTGAACAGGCACTGGTTTGTTGTGTTGGGCTTCAACTGCTGGATCCACACATACTGCTCAGCCCCCGGTGTCTGGGCAGTGACTGATCCCTGTCCCTATGCTGAGCCTCCCAATGATATACCCCAGGCCTGACACACTTCTTGAGCAGTGAGATCTCAACTGCTGAGAGATCCTGGAGCAGTGCCCCAGGCTGCTTATATATATCCCCCTTGGAGTCTACCTAGCTGTGGGATCCTTCGTTTTCCTAGTTGAGCATTCAGCGATAATTCAGCAGTAAAGCAAGGAAGCGTGGACTTAGCAAAGGAATTTTGTATGTAGTCTCTGTGTGCACTTGCACACAAAGCAGGGCTCATCCCCTCCTGCTGGGGGCAGCAGGGACACAGGTGCACACATGCACTTTCTTCTCGGATAGTAGAGTTACAGATCTATGGAAAACACTGAACTCTTGCACCTCCATCCCCTCTTTCTCACCTCAGGCCCACTCCCAGGGCCTGAGTTTAGCCCCAGCTCTTTGTGGAGGCAAGTGCTCCTTTTGGGCTTTTTGTCTGTGCCACGCCGTGGCTGGGAGAAGCACAGTCTCTGCTCCTCTGGATCAGATGCAGCTGTGAGTTCAGGCTTCTGGGAAGAATGATTCCCCTTGGCCCTGCTGTTAGCTACCCCACTGCTTCCACGAAAGACAGCCATTCAGTGCTGATGCCCTTTGATTGCTGGGTCACAGCTCACACTCTCACAACAGGTGTGTGTGTTCAGAAGTTAGCATTGATATTTGGGATTTGCATTTCAGCTAAGCCTAGGAGCCCCACTCATGGGCCAGGGCTCCAAGGTGCTAGGTGCTGTACATTAGTATTTCGTTGCTGCTGGAGGCCAAGCTGTACACCTGATAAGAAAGGACAATATCATATTACTGACTCTGATTTTCCTAAGCAGCAGCAAGTTGCACCACAGAGTTTCCTCAGCCTGCTGCATCAAATTGACCTTATTTTAGTGGAAACTGGGCTCATTTGGTTTTCCAAATTACCCCATAATCCAGACAGTGCTCCCCAGGCGAATGTCCTATCCCCTAAGACACTCAGAACCCATCCCCACTTCCCTGCCTTCAGCGGGTCCCTTATCCTGCTTTCCAAATGCAGGAGCCAGATCCATCCCTGGGGTGGCCAGTGTTGGCTGAGACCTAGGACAGGCTTGATTGTTCCTTTCTGGCCACTGATTTTGTGAGCCCGCAGAGTTGCCTGTTGGTGGTAGACAGATCGTAAGATTATTATGGTTAGAAAATAAAATTATGATTGTTATTTGTTCTCTGCACTGAAGTAGAGCTAGGTGTGGCAACTGCAGATCAGCTCCCAATTGTGCTAGGAGTTGTACAAACACAGAACAAGTACAGGCAAGGAATTGTCTCACCACAGCCAAAGCTGCTGCCCTCCGTGGATTCTCCATGATCTTGCTTTTTTGTGTGGAAGATTTGGGTTGTGGGGTTTTGGCAACTGCCAGGAGAATTTGAGGACATTATAAGATGCCATAGCATTTAGGGATGTAATGGTTTAACTGATTAACCAGTTAATTGGTAAGCATTGCCTTATTGGCATGCTTACCAGGATAACTGGTTCACCGGCTTCTGGCCTGGTCGGAGCAGCCCTCCACCTGTGTGGGTGCTCCAGCCTAGCTGGGCCCTCCACACCGCGCCATAGAAGGTGCTCCAGCCCATCAGGGCCCACTGCACTGCAGGTGGGGAACTGCTACAGTGCCCTCCTGCCCATGGCATGGTGGGCAGTTAACCAGTTAAACTTATAATTTAACCATATAACAATTTACATGAGAGTTTACATCCTTAACAGCATCCCATCCATGTGTCATACTGCTTTCTGGGGGTTGTCATGATGTTGTTATACTCGATGCTGTAGCAGCATAAGGACACCAGTATGCAATGCTGTGCCACAGCGGGGGCACTCTGCATGTGCTGCCAGGATGGTATTTCCAAAACACTGCGGCTATGTCTAGACTGGCCAGTTTTTCCGGAAAATCAGCTGCTTTTCCGGAAAAACTTGCCAGCTGTCTACACTGGCCCCTTGAATTTCCGCAAAAGCACTGACTTCCTACTGTAAGAAATCAGTGCTTCTTGCGGAAATACTATGCTGCTCCCGTTCAGGCAAAAGGGCCAGTGCAGACAGCTCAGATTTGTTTTCCGCAAAAAAGCCCCGATCGCCATTTTCGCGATAGGGGCTTTTTTGCGGAAAAGCACATCTAGATTGGCACGGACGCTTTTCTGCAAAAAGTGTTTTTGCGGAAAAGCGTCCGTGCCAATCTAGATGCTTTTTTACAAAAATGCTTTTAACGGAAAACTTTTCCGTTAAAAGCATTTCTGGAAAATCATGCCAGTCTAGACACAGCCTTGCCAGGAAGGGATTTTGGTGCAATTGGGTGGTGTTTTGACAATAGCTCACTGAGTTTTATCCAGGCTAGTTGGTGACATTTTCCTGGGTGCAATAACATTGTAACAACACAATGCAGCACTATGACATCACAACACAGCTAATCATGTGATCTCAGCACGTGACCCAGTGATATCACAATACAGCGCTATGACACCACGAGGAAGCACACTACAATCACAACACAGCTAGCATGATGCTATCACAGTATCACACAATGACATCATAATACAGTTCTAGAAAACCACAAAGCAATGTAATTACATGACAATGCTGTACTGTGATATCAAAATACAGTGCTACGATATCACATTGTAACATAGTGACATTATAATGCAGCATGATTCTAGTTGTGGTTCCTTAACGTTAGTATGATAGTGCCAGCCAAGGACCAGACAAGAATGGGACCCCATTGGCAGCTGCCTGAAGAAATTGAAGAGACTATAAGATGCCACAGCATCTGGGGATGTAAAGGTTTAACTTGTTAACCAGTAAGCATTGCCTTACTGGCATGCTTACCGGGGTAACCAGTTAACTGGTGCTTGGCCCAGTTGGAGCAATCTCACACCTGTACAGGTGCTGCAGCCTGGTAGGGCCACAGCAGCACCCTCCTCTTCCCCGGC